AGGTTTCAGATGAGCTACAAAACAAAGACAGACTAGGAAGAAAGAGTGACAAACTACTTCCGAATCGCTAGTCACTGAAAACTCTATGCATAGTTTTTCCTTAGAGCTTTTTAAAATCTTCCTTCAGTTCCTTTAATAAACTTCATTTGGGTGTGAATTAATGTTACCTGTTAATTTTTTTCAAAAACACTAGTTACTATTAACTGTTTCCTTTCAGTTGGGGAAGTGGAATTAAATGGTATCATTACAGATATGGACTACTGGTGCACTGTAGGATAAGCACTGGACTGTAAACCACAAAGTTCAAACCTACCAACTGTTTCTCAGAAACCCTATACAGCAGGGGTGGGGAACCTTTTTCTGCCAAGGCCTGTTTAGATATTTGTCAGCTTAAAAATTAGCCTACTGTATTTGGTCAAACAATTATGAACTCACCCCCTAATTTAATGGCTGGAACTGCAGTTGCCTTGGCAGGGCCAGACCAAGTGATTTTGAGGGCCTTATACAACCTGTGGGCCAGATGTTTTCCACCCTTGCTATACAGGGTCACTGTGAGTCGGAACCTAACAACAACAATTATAGATATGTGCAAAGTTATGTAAGTTCCCATCAAGTTACAATTTCCTTTAACTCAATATACTTCAAACCTGAAATGTCTGAATCAGTTTCTTAATTAAATTCCCTAATTAGAATCCACCTGAGAAGACAATGGATGAGGGGTGATGATCTGTACTTTCATTTCATGTAACCTGAGAATGATCTCTGTCAGTAACTTGGTTTTGTCTGGTAGCATATATAAAATGAGAGTTTGCTTGCAAAACTAAAATTGAGATTTTTTTTTTTTAATTCCCAGATTTCTGCACTGAATGGCCAGTTGCCCTAGACAGTGATGAAAAATGTGAGAAGCATTTTCCGGTTGAAATTGACACAGCTGATTATGTTTCAGCAGGACCGTCTGTCCGAAACCCTAAAGCACGAGTAGTAACCTTAAGGGTAAGAAGGATTTAAAAAGGAAAAGAAGAATCGTTGGAATACATTTTTTAAAATAACATTTTGTATGTTTGCTTCTAAGACTAATTCTTATCTATTATAAAAGACGTAGAAAATATTAGAATGTTCTAAAGTACAAAACAAAGTTGCTTATATTTTACCACTCAGAAATAACTGTTAATCGTAGGCACTCACTGTAATATATACACAGCCAGCCTTTGTAGATAGTAGCAGGATGATACTTGTGTTTGTTTAGTAATTTGCTGTTTTTCCCTTACTTTCAATGTTGTGAGAATTCTTTAATATTATTTCTAATGGATGCATAGAGTAACATAAATGAGGTTCTGTTATTTGCGGAGACTGGAAGTATATCTTAGTGTATTAGTGCTGCTTTAACAGAATGTCACAAGTGGGTGGCTTTGATGACAGAAATTTATTTCTTACTTTTAAGGAGACCGGAAGTCTTGATTCAATGCTCTAGGGAAGGCTTTGTCTTTGTCAGCTCAGGCAAGAGCCCTGGTCTCTCAGTTTCTGTTCCTTAGGTCCTTGGCTGTCTTATCCCATCTGTGCTTGCTTGATTCTGTGCACAAGCTATTCTTTTTATAACCTAAAAGTGATTGGACATAGCAAAATGTCCCTTATCTGATTATTCAGTTATGCTGGTTAGTAATTCCATACATGAGCCCTGGATACCCACAGATAAATGTAAAAACTTTCCCTAAAAGCTGGGACTGTAAATTCCAAAAAGGCAAAGTTTTTCCCAAAAAAAAAAAAAAAAAGGCTAAAGAGGATAGAGAGAAACTCTGTTAACTGATGGTATGTGGAGGGGATTATAATCAATGTAATGAAACAAGGTATAAGAATGTTTGAATGTGAAACCGATGATGTGCCCTGAAAACTTTCACTCAATCCACAATAAAAACCTTAAAAAAAAAAGTGATTGGGGTTTAAACACACTTTATCCTGATACGGATACGGAGCCTTGGTAGCGTAGTGAGTTACGCGTTGGGCTGCTATTCAGAAGGTTAGTTGTTCAAATCTATCTGCCATTCCGTGGGAGAAAGATGAGGCCATCTGCACTTGTAAATATTTACAGCTTTGGAAACCCAGTGTAGCATTGCTATGAGTTGGAACCAACTGGAAGGCAGTCAGTAGCAGCAGCAGCAACATCTGATAAGAGAAAACTCTATTCCCAAATTGGATTATATTCATAGGAATAGGGTTAATATTACAGCACATGTTTTGGAGGTATATAATTCAATCCATGTTGTTATTGTTAAATGCCGTCGAGCCAATTTCAACCCATAGCGACCCTGTATAGGGTTTCCAAGGAGCAGCTGGTGAGCTTGAACCGCCGATCTTGCAGCTCAGATGGCTTTGCAGTCTGGCGCATTAACCCACAGCACCACAATAGGACTCCGAATTCAGTTCAGTCCATAGCTGAGTATAATTCTGATTACTTTAGATATAGTATTTTTTCTGCTGCTGAAGTGGGTGATACAAATAATTCCTAACACAAATCTACCATAGTATATTTACGTTATCTATACTACAGAGCATGTAGGATTTTAAGCTTTATTTTTAATATGCTGTAATGAGTATCTTTAGAGATTAATATTTGTGTATATGCGTAGTACTGGTCCAAGATAAATTCCTAAAAGGAGAACTGCATAAGAGGGTTAAGATACTTTAAAGCTTTTCAGTAAGTATTGTGAAAATTTCTGCAGAAAATATAAAACAACACCAGCAGAATTCCTTGTATTCTCACTAGCCCTAGATAGTTATTACCTACCAAATTGATAGGTTTTTAAAAAAAAAGGTTTAATTTCTGAAATGCATATGTCTTTAAATACAAGCAAGATTGAGAATTTTTTCCGTTGCAGAATGCTCATTTTTGTCTTTGCTCATTTTAATGGTGTGTTAATTTTTATATATTTATGTCTTTGATTTTTAAAAATAATACCTTTATTGAGATATAGTTTGCATACCACTTCACAACCCCATGTGTGCAGAGTAGAACTGCTTCATACGGTTTTCAGGACTGTGTCTTTGGAATGGACAAGGAGTTATGCTCCATCTCTGTGAGGGAGAAGTATCTACATAAATTATTTAGAATTCTTTTGTATGGGAGATTGGTCTCCCCTATTAAAGTTTATTAAAACATTGATTTATGTTAGTGTGAGCTCAGGGATATTTATGCTATATTTTGGAATAATGTAATGCTATTATTTTGTTCTCTCTCAAATTATTCCAGTTTTGGTCCTTGGGAGCTCTTTGCCCTTTCCATTGGCTCATCAGTCCCTTTTACACCCACCATACTTGGCGGTTTTGAGCACTTTCTTCTTTTCTGGCCCTGTAAGGTACTCCAGCCTCATTTTGCATATTACCTGCCCCGGTCCTAGAACCAGTCATTTCTTCAAGGAGCCCTGACACACTTTAAGAATTTTTATTGTGGTAAAATATGTTAGAAAACATTTGCTATTTCAAACGTTTTCACTTGTACAATTCAGTGGCATTAATTTACGTTTACTTTGCTGTACAAACATCATTACATAACCACCACAAACATCACAGATATATGATTTTAATCGTCACAGAAATTCAGTACCCTTAAATACCTCACCATCTCTCTCTTCCACTTGCCCTTGGTAATTCATAATAAACTTTGGTCTCTATGAATTTGCCTGTTTTTGATATTGCATGTTAATTGAAATCCTGTAATACTTGTCTTGTTATGTCTGACTTAATTCCCTTAGCATAATGTTCTCAAAAGGAGCTCTGGTAGTGTAGTGGTTACGAATCGGGCTGTGAACCACAAGGTCAGCAGTTCAAAACTACCAGCTGTTCCGCGGGAGAAAGATAAGGCTTTCTGCTCCCGTAAAGATTCACAGCCTCGAAAACCCTATACAGGGGTCGCTATGAGTCGGAACTGACTCCACGGCACGTAACAACAACAATGTTCTCAAGGTGCATCCATGTTGTATCATGTATCAGAACTTTGTTTTTCTTTATGGCTGAATAATGGTCTATTATATACGTTACATATTTCAAAAAAAAGTTAACAGCCACCTCTCCCATAGTACTGTCTGCTCAGCTAGGTTCAGTAATTCACTGCAGTGGTCTCACAGAACTCACTCAGACTCCATACTCACAGTTAGGGGGTTTATTGGAGAAGCTGACTGGTTACAGTGCAAGATCAGAAAATGCTCAGGGCACAGTTCTTCCAGTCACGACAGCCTCTCTTCTTCCAGTCACGACAGCCTCTCTTCAGCTAGTCCCATCGGCAGGCCTCTCTCTGCGTCCCAGGCAATGCTACAAAGTTCTTCTAGGGTTTCTGATAAATGCTTACAGGGCACATCATTTTATTATAAACCTCAGTCTGAAGGTACTGGGCTCTAACTCTTGTGAGTAAGCAAACCTAACTCCCCCCAATAAGTGCCTTGAGCCACCCCACTCTGCAAACAAGCCTCCTGCCCAAAGTCACTCAGATTTACTTACCTTGTGGGCTAGGAAGCCCAGAGCTTTGTCTTGTACGTTGGCTCTTGGTTCTGCTGCTGCTGCTCTACTCCCACTCTGTAGTGTCACAGCTTTCTGTCCCTGGGTCGACGAGCTTCATTGCGCAGGGATCTTGGGGTCCAGAGGATGCACTCCACTCTTAGCTCGTCTTTCTTTTGGTAGTGACAACTGTCCTCCTGCTTCTGAAATGGCTGATTAAGGAGCTCTGGTAGCGTAGTGGTTACGAATCGGGCTGCGAACCTTAAGGTCAGTGGTTTGAAACTACCAGCCGCTCCGCGGGAGAAAGATGAGGCTTTCTACTCCCGTATGGATTTACACCCTTGGAAACCCTGTACAGGGT